TGCAAGTTATTTAGCCTTAAACATGCCTAGAAGATGTATTTTGACATTTTTGTAAGGAAAAAAAATTAGGGGAAAAAAAATGAGGTTAAAGAATTTGTTGGGTCTGATTTATTCTGATTGCCAAAATAACAACAAATCATGCATAGGTGTTGATTTTTTCTTGTACTAAACATACTTGGAAATTGTATTCTGACATTTTCACCAAACAATAGGTAAAAGAGGTCGGAATTTGTCGTACCCAATAGTTTCAAGAATCATATGAATCATTTAACATGAATCGAATTGTGAATCATGCGATTCACCATCGATTCTGTCCCAAAATAGATTCACATCGATCTATGCATGAATCATGAATTGAATTGTGAATCAAATCACGAATTGTAAGATATTGATAAGATAGGTACTATTTTCAACCACCATTTTACCTCTTAATTAATGGGAACAGTAGGACGTTATTGCTGTTAGAGATAGACTTTTATTTTGTGGAAGTTCATTTTTTAGCGGAGAACATGTTTTATTTACACAATGATTTCCACTTGTACATTTGCAGTTTATATTCTTAACTACTATTGATGGGAAAATCAAGGCCTGCTTTCCAGTTGGCCGAAATTATAGATCCTGCTCAATGCCAGTTGGTTACCATGCCAGACAGCATGGATGCAGTCAACAAGGTGTGTTCCTACTCATTTGTTGCTGCAGAATCTATCTATTCGATTATGCTCGACTGACACATCTATATCCAGGTTGCTTGACTACTCTATACAAATTCCGGTTTTGGTGTTTTGGCACTTGGGTCTAATGGGATTCAGAAGTTATGGAAGTGGACACGTAGTGAACAAAATCCAGGTGGAAAGGTAATAGCCAGTTGGGAGTAATTTCATTTGCATGTTTTCCTGTTTCTTTTCTTTTATTAGTCGATATTTGTGGAGGAGAATTCTGAACTTGGTGAGGGTCTAAAGGACACTGCCAATGTTGTTCCACAGTAATGGCAACCAAACAGTGGTCTTGTTATGACTAATGATGTCACAGGTGTCAACCTCGAGGAAGCAGTGCCTTGCATAGCACTCTCAAAGAATGACTCTTATGTAATGTCAGCCTGTGGCGGCAAGGTTTCGTTGTTCAACATAATGACATTCAAGGTATGTCTGCACGTGGTTGTTAGAATTTTACAATTCACAATTCAATTTGTATGATCCGATATGAGTTTCAAGCAAAATGATTTGATTCGTGAAGTTGATTTTTATATTATGAGAATCTTATGATTCAATTGCGATTCACTGCAATTTAATTCTATTTGCATAATGCATGAAACTGTGTCGTTTTCTCAAAAAAAAAAAAAGAAAAAAAGAAAAAGAGAAGAGATCAACTAATTATATTGATATACGTGGTTTTATATGTGTACATATATACGATCTAGTTATATTTATGAAGGATTAAAGATGAGATTGTTTTGAAATGTAGGTAATAACTACATTTATGCCACCTCCACCTGCTTCAACCTTCCTAGCATTTCATCCTCAAGATAATAACATCATAGCCATTGGAATGGAAGATTCAACTATCCACAAATACAATGTTCGGGTGGATGAGGTAATTGCTTTCTATCATGTCCTATCAAATATTTGTGCCAATCACATAATTAGAAGCAATCTGATACACTTTGTGTTTTATAGGTTAAATCAAAACTTAAAGGTCACCAAAAGCACGAATCTGGATTAGCTTTTTCTACCAATCTTAACATATTGGTTTCATCAGGAGCTGATGCTCAGGTAATTTTTCTTACAGTTTTCCTTGTCATCTGAGATCATTTAACTATTTTCACTTTGAAAAACATCTAAATCCAGTGTTTGCTTTGAACCTAAACTCAACGAGAAATTGGGAAGGAGCTTCGTTCTCCTACTTCTTCAGTTCCTCCTTGCAGAGACCTCATGTTTCAGCACCCAATGACCAAACCTTGCGATCTTCTTGCCGAATTGCCTTTATCTATTGAGGGCATTTATTGATAGAGTTTTGTGGGACTTTTGGTGGATAATATTGAGGGCATTTATCTACTGTGGGAAGTGTTAAGTTTAGCTGTTAAGGCAATTGTGTTGGTTCTTTAGCTTAAAATGTGTGCAAAGCATATAAGCTCATTATCTGTTTGTATATATGCTTCAAAGAATTGTGACAGTTGCATATTGAGGTGAAATGCAGGGTATGTTCAACTTTATTTAGTCAACACTTGATTTCAATTACTCGATTGTGTTAATCTTTACCCATTATGTTGTTGTGAAATGTATCAACAAACTGCATTGCCACTGTAATCGATTTTGTGTCTTTAATCGATTTTGCATTTCCAATCGTTGCATAAGAAACTTATTGTTTTCACTATTTGCATCCTGTGCTAATTATGCTAGATGTGCGAATCAGATTCTACAGAATCTGACCAACATGCAGGTGCTAATCTTAAACCATATATCACGCATCCACTATTTGAGTCTTGCTTCATGTCTTACATTGTCTCTCCTATTGTGTAGTCTTCGTTCTTATTATTTATTTCCATATTAAAGTTGTGGCTTAGGATTCCATTAGAGAAGTCTGATAATGATGCTATGAATGGGAACTCTGATCATCTAGTGAGTATTACTTTCGCAATTGCAGTTGAAATCATATAGCTTACAAATCTACAGTTGAAGATGTTTATTTAGTCAAGTTGTTGCAGTTTGAACTTGCTGTATGTGAAATATGCCACTACCCAAAGTTGATCTTGCTTATTAGGGGTGGAGAGCTGGAGTGCATGCGTTTTAATTTTTTGATTTGTTTGAACTTAGCATATGCAAATGGAAAGTTATTTTGTCACGGAATTGCTTCCTGTCATCTTGGGGTTATGCCTCTCTCTTATGGCTGGATCATTTGCAGTTTCTTTGCTCCTGTCCAATTAATTTTTGAATCCTGAAGTGTGTTTTTTTTGGCCTAACAAGATTCATTTTTTAATTTTTGAATCCTGAAGGTCTTCAATAACTCATCATTTGTAAGATATGCTACCTAGAGAAGTAATTAGTGTCTGATATAACTGCTCAACCTCCAATTAGCAATCATTGAATTGTATTTGTGTTGGAGTAGGATTTGACAATGTATTTGTGTTGGAGTAGGATTTGACAATGTATTTGTGTTGGAGTAGGATTTGACAATGTATTTGTGTTGGAGTAGGATTTGACAATGTATTTGTGTTGGAGTAGGATTTGACAATGTATTTGTGTTGGAGTAGGATTTGACAATGTATTTGTGTTGGAGTAGGATTTGACAATGTATTTGTGTTGGAGTAGGATTTGACAATGTATTTGTGTTGGAGTAGGATTTGACAATGTATTTGTGTTGGAGTAGGATTTGACAATGTATTTGTGTTGGAGTAGGATTTGACAATGTATTTGTGTTGGAGTAGGATTTGACAATGTATTTGTGTTGGAGTAGGATTTGACAATGTATTTGTGTTGGAGTAGGATTTGACAATGTATTTGTGTTGGAGTAGGATTTGACAATGTATTTGTGTTGGAGTAGGATTTGACAATGTATTTGTGTTGGAGTAGGATTTGACAATGTATTTGTGTTGGAGTAGGATTTGACAATGTATTTGTGTTGGAGTAGGATTTGACAATGTATTTGTGTTGGAGTAGGATTTGACAATGTATTTGTGTTGGAGTAGGATTTGACAATGTATTTGTGTTGGAGTAGGATTTGACAATGTATTTGTGTTGGAGTAGGATTTGACAATGTATTTGTGTTGGAGTAGGATTTGACAATGTATTTGTGTTGGAGTAGGATTTGACAATGTATTTGTGTTGGAGTAGGATTTGACAATGTATTTGTGTTGGAGTAGGATTTGACAATGTATTTGTGTTGGAGTAGGATTTGACAATGTATTTGTGTTGGAGTAGGATTTGACAATGAATTCTATCACGAAGCTAAATTGTACAAGACTACTTGGCAGTATAAGCATTTTTGGGAGGATTAAATATTTTTGGATGGATGTGTATGGATAACAAATATTAGTAGTTTTATTTGTTGATAGCTACACATGTATAACAAATAGTTATGTTTCAAATTGTTATGCTAGATGGATGTGACTTGTGAATGAAAACTTAAAATAATTGTATTGTGTCGAATGTTAATGAATTATGTATTGTGTCGAATGTTAATGATTCAGTTAATTTGAATGATGCTATAAAATTATAGGTTTATTATGGATTGAATGAATTATTAGAAATTACAGGTGTATTGTTTTCCTGCTTTGGCGACCAATTTATTAGTCGCGACAAATAAATAATTTTTTTTCGCAAAAAATAACAATTGCCGACCAAGAGTTTTGGTCGCAAAAAATACATCTATTGCCGACCAAAACAGCTCTTGGTCGTGGAAACTCACTTTTGCCGACCAAAAGTTTTGGTCGCGAAAAGTAACAAATGGCAACCAAATTTTTTGGTCGTGGAATGTCACAATTGACAACCAAACTTTTTGGTTGTTGAATGTGATAATTGGCGACCAAACTTTTTGGTTGCGAAATGTGTCAATTGGCGACTAAGATATTTGGTCGGGAAAATATCACTTTTTGCGACCAAAGTATTTTAACGACAAAATGAATTAGTCGCGGTAATTAAATATTTAGCGACCAAAAATTTAGTCGGCAAATTCAATTTTTCCCGACCAACCAAAATTTTGGTCGCGAATTACTTTTGCCGACCCTCAATTGGCGACCAAAGTAGCGACCAAAAAAATTGGTCGCGGATTACTTTTGTCGACTAAAAATGGACTTTTAGCGACCAATTTTTTGGTTGCCATAAGTGTTAATTCTTGTAGTGGAAAGTTAAGTTATTCCCATCATTTTAGTTGTTTCAAACATCAAAATTTTATTACTGCATGTCATATCTGCACATAGAATGATAGAAAAAAGCATGACTGTATTTTCAGAAATTGCTAATTATTATTATTATTATTTTTTTTTAGCCATTTATGGGGCATAAATGCACAGAAAGTATTGACAAAGAATACACAAATGTGAGACAATCTCATTTTGCAAATTCTTTCGGTGCGCGTAATACAACTGGTTAAGAAAAAGAGAATTATGAGCTCATTCTACTATTGGAAAATTATTCAGTATTCTTGGAACTCCAGGTATAGTCACAAGACTTACAGTCACCCTCATAATGAATATGAGAAATTGTGGTTCTATTCTATGAATAAATCAAAAATCAATTGAATCAAGAGATATATTGCTTTTATTTCGAAGAATGAGACTCATTTACATTCATCGAAATGTCTGAAACAAAGATTTTAGCACCTTGAAATCTTTATCACAAACCCTAGCTAGCATTTAAACAAGACCATCTTTGACTGATTTCTTAAACCTCATGACTTTCTTTCTCTTGACCATTCATCCCCACCAAAAGAGCTGTAGTTTCCTTATCCCTGATCTGAAAATTACACCAATCCAATTATTTAGTTTCCATCATTGTTTTGGATTCACCATAGACTCCGTTTTGATAATTCAAATAATTCATTTTGTAAAGCGCTCAGTGTACATCATCCATGAAAAAAATTAGATCGATACGAAAATTGTAACGTTTTACTTTTTATTGCATTGTCTCAAAAAAAAGATGGACATCAAGTGTGTTTTTAAAACAAACTATCAATTTTTCTAGAGACAAATACGATAAAATAAAAAAAATTACGATTATTAGATTGACATAATTTTATCCATAAATTATATATACAAAGTGTCCTATAAAATGAAGGATACAGATTATTAAGATCGGACCCGAAATGCCTAAAGAGTTTTCTTCTCAAATTCAAAGAAGGCCTACCCTAAACGAACGTATGGTAAATGAATGTGATTATTATCATACTATTATTGGAAAGAGAAAGAGGTACCTGAGAGGGAGGTGAGAGATCAACAAGTTGTTTCTTTTTATTCTCATGGCTGCAAAAATATGAATACAAGGCCATTCCAAGGATGGCAATTAAAATGCCAATGATGTTTCTAGAAGTGAAAGGGTCATGAAGTAATGTGTAGCCAAATGCAAGAACCAGGCATGTCTTGAGATGTCCCAACACTTGATATGTCACTGGTGATGTCTTCCCAATTACCAAAAATGTGCTGAAATTCACTGACACTGCTATCAAGCACGATAGTATGATGAAACCCTGCATATGTTTCAATCACTCATTTTCATTTCTTAAAATACTTCATATGATTTTATTATAAATGATAGCATGCAACTCCACTTGAATTTTAATTATATACACATTGGAAAAAAAAAAATGGGAGAGATGTTAATTTAGTGTACGTTTTTTTTTTTTTTCAAAAAATTATCAATCAGTGGTAAATGTAAACTTTACAAACATTAATAATTAAAATCTTAAATTTTTTCATGCATTTGTAATATTTTTTTGAAAGTACTATTGAATGGTAATTTTTCCAAAATAATATTCATCCAGAATGTTTTTACAAAATTTTGACAAGAATGATAAATGCAGATACATTTTTAAAAATGACATGCGATAACACATGCTGCTGGTACTTTGTTTAACATTGTGATTTGTGTAAACAATGTTTTGAAAATTATGAAAAGGTTAAAAAAAAGATTTTGAAATCAAGAAAATATGTTTTTGAAATCGATGAAAAGTGTCTTATTAATTTTTTTTTTTTAATGTGTTTTAGGGTAATTTGTTAGCTAGACCATTTGAATAGGGGTGAGCAAGTGAACTAAAAAATCCGCAGTCCAAACTGTTCAAGTCCAATTTGGTAGGTTTAGTTTGGTTGACTAATCCGTGGTTTCGGATTGATCTAAAAAATTAGCAATCCGTTGTTTATGAATTGGTTCCGGATTATGATACATGATTCCTGATTGAATCCGATTCGGATGTTTAGTATTCCACCCTACCATTATATGATACACCCTACACACTATTCCATCCTTTTATATATAAAACCCAATAAGGAACCCTCCGAAGAAAAGAAGGAGGCGCTGCTCTCAATGGAATGGAACTACAACTAACTATCAATAATTAATTTATTAATATTACAAGTTGATTTGGGTTTCTGCTGTTACTGTGTTGTGCTGCTGTTTTTGTTTTTTGTTTTTATTATAAATTATTTAGCATAAGTTTAGTTTTGTTACTGTTATTGTCACAACAAAATATTTGTTAAATGAGAGTTTAATTTGCTACATGTTGAATGTTGTTAGAACAATGTTATATGATTTTTATTGTGTGAAACCGTGGTTCCAAACTGAATCGATCCGTGTTTAAATTGATTGGTTCCATGGTTTAAATGGTTAAGGTTGGTTCTAATTTTTATGGAACTGTAGTTCACGGATTGATCCTAGTTTCATCTCAAATTGGTCCAATTCTGACTATGCTCACCCCATATTTGAAAATACAAGTTATAATTTTTGTTTTAAAATAACAAAATCAAGACTTGTCATATAATTTTGTATTGATTTTATATACAATTTATCTGTTTATAAATCAATATATATTGTGCATTGGTTACCATATATGTGCGACCAAAGATTTTTGTTTCTAAATTTTTATGTCCTTTTGTTTTAAAATAATCACAATCATTGAATCATATGAAAATTTTAAATTTTGATTTAATAACTAAATATTTTAAGAGAGCAAAATAATTTGGACAGAAAATCCCTTGCCAAGATAGATATATATATATATATATTATGCATGCATAAAAGATAGGAAAAGAGGATGGAAAAATCAGAGTTACCAAGACAATAGGGGAATATTTGTGAGCAAAGACATTTTGCTTTGTGAGGCATTGATCAACCCATGGGCCTGAGACAAAGAGAATTGCAGCTTGAAATGGAGCTGATTGATACAACAACTGTGTAGAAGATACATTGAGCCTCTTTTGTATTGTGTTTGTTAGCTGCACATTAGGTTAAGAAAAAGAAAAAAAGAAAACCCTACTTATCAACTCATGAAGGCAAACCTATCTAATTTGTACACACTATATCACTCAAAATCTCATTAAAAAAAAAAAAAAGAACTGTCCAATACATGAGATTCTTGTTTTTGTATTGACTTGGTTCATATAGTTTTAATCATATCAATTTTACTCTTTAATTTTTCACACCACATCAAATTGGTTCAATTAATAACATTCGTTATAAAATTAAACAGAAATCAAGTGCAAAATGATCTATTCAAAAAGAAATAAACTATTTCAAATTGGATGTCAACGACTCTATTATTTTGAGAAGAGCGCATGAACTATTTTATTTTTGATTGGAGTCTAATTTCTACAGAGAAATTATTAATTAGACTAAATTAATATAATATAAAAAAAATCAAGATATTGATACAATATGCCAACTACAGTGTCTGCATGTGTAATTTGCCCTAGAAATTATGTATGGCTTAGATTCATCACATCCAAGGGCACACATTCTTTTTCTGAACATTTTTTACGTGCAAAATTAATAATAAAAAAATAGAAGTAATGGAATTGATAAAAAGGATACAATTTGACCAACGCAAGTGGTTATGATAGCTAGAAGAGAGAGAATTGCCCCAACAAAATTGAGTTGGAGGTCAGTGATGGAAGCTATGCCAACTCCAACAAGTAAGAGGAAGAGAGAGAGTTTTATCTTTTGGCTGCAAGAATTCAATTAAGGTCAAGTTTGGCAACTTCAAAATAATCCATCTTTTTATCTTTTTTTCATCACATTACCTCTCTACTTTTCTGCACATCTTTTCATAAAAAGACAAAAAATACACTTATTTACGTCATTCCAAACAACCCTAAGTAGGAAATGTGAGAGAGAAAATTACAAAGGTCAAGTTTGAAAAGACTAAATAAGTGTATTTTTTGATTTTTTTTGTATTATGTGTAGAAAAAGTAGAGAGAAGATGTTGATTGATGTGATCCAAAAAAGATAAAAAGATGAAATAAGTGCACTTTTTTAGTTTAGCCAAACTTGACCAAAGTGAAAAGGCATTAGTAATTTTCTCAAAAAGTGTATATATAACCTGAATTGCTTTTTCAAGAAAATAGTTTCTAGTAGCACTGTGAAAGGTATGATTGCAAGTTTTGTCATCTGCAAAATAAACAACCCATGATTAATAATGAGATTAATGTTTGGGAGTACTAAAAAATGAATATTAGAGGGAGTACTAATATGGTGGCTTTTTTTTGATGTGATGGTTGTCTCTTTTATTTTATTTTATTTTTTTATAATATTTTCCAACTCATTAGAACAGTTAGTGGTGTGTTTTTTAGCGGTCTCAATCACTTTTGTAATAATAAATACACAATACTAAAATATTAACAATTATACCAAATTTTGTCAATTATGTTGTGTGCCATCACTATATTGATTTGATGAGACTTATCACTTTTAGTTTTTATTAATAGAAAAATGCTTGAGACCCGCATTGGGGTCGACCCCCAGTGAGGTGACGCACTGTGATTGGACAAAAAAAAAACTATTTTATTTATTAATTTTTTTTTTGAGTTTTAACCAGTGGGGGCTCGCCATCTCACTGGGGGTGCGACCCCCACTGGGGGTCTGCAGCATAGTTGTTATTAATATAGTAGTGACACATAATAAATAGAACATGATAATTATTATAGTATAATTGACATTAATATTACACATGAAATAAGACTGAGAATCTAGATTTATGGTCTCCGAATTGACCCAGAATGGTGATTGTGTGGTTCAGATTGAATTTATATGATATGTGATTTATGTGTAGAATAAATCTAAACTATTAAATGATAATTCTAGATAATTTCTAAATAGCTAAATCTAAATTTAAATTTATAATATTACTTTTACACATGTCATACAAGGGTTAATCTCAAATTCGATGACAGCTTCAACGACTTTCTCTACCATTCATTTTTGGTATTGATGTTGTTTTCTGTTTTCGAAAATAGAAAAAATGGAAACTAACATGAAAAAATTGTTTGACAAATTTTATAAAGTTGTTTTCTGAATGGAAACAATGGGTATTTTATCTTTTTAATTTCTGATAACACAAAAAACAAAATCAGGAAAAATGAAACGATACAAGCTTTCTTACTGATCACATCATTAGTAGTAAACAAATAGATAATTAATCACAATATATTGTAAAGAAAGTTCTCACCTGGTAGAAGCCAATTGAGTTAAATCCAAGGCTTAAGTTGAGAAATCCAATGGAAACCCCATTAAGAATGCCGAAAAGCATGACTGTATTCATGTCGACCGCCTTGCTCTCAAAAAAGTTGAAGTGTTGTGCTGCGTGGAGGGAGCAGTATGTTACCATCAGATGCCAACTAGTCAGTGTTGTAGCTGAAAATTCCAAAAAAAAAAAAATTGATTTGTCAAATAATTTCTACAATTTTTGCATAGTGATGATGATAATGATAGTTTAACCACTAATTAACCACATACTATTATTATAAAAGAATTAATAGAAGCCCATGGTTTGTTCCAAGAAGAAAAATGGGTAACTACACTCTAGCGAAATTTTTAAAAAATAATTATATATTCATGAAAAAGTTTAATTATTAATATTTATAAATTTTTCATTGATTTATAATAATTTTTTCAAAACTTCACTGATTTGATATTTTCACAAGAAAAAGAAAAAAGGAAAAAAAAAAGGAGATGAAGAAGACAATAAAGTTACCAAAAGGGAAGCCAAGAAAGCTCATCAAGGCTTTGTTGCAGATGACAATGGAGACTGATGATGCCACTGATAGAAACAATGCACCCATAACACCCAACTGCAACCCTGACACCTCTCCCATCTTCCATGAAATTCAAAAAATAAAAATAAATAAAACAAAAGAAAATAAAAGAAGAATTAGAGATATAACATATGGAATGGTATTATATTACAAACAGAAAAAATATATATATATAGAGATAACATGAATGTACTGTGACTCATCATTTAAAAAAAAAAAAAAACTTTTAAATGATATTTATAAAGATGTCATGCCATTATCTTATCATTCTGGTGGAGAATAATTATTTATAAAAAGTTCTAATTCATTATATGTGCACAACATTAATTTATTATAAAATATCACTATCGTTTAATGTCAAGTTAGGTTCAGTTCTAACATAATTAATGGCATTTTTGTATAAAATTGCCTTTGAAAAATATTTCAATATATATAGCTATAACTGGTCATTTGCCTTCAAGAATGTAAGAGTACAGGAGTGTTTAGGAGCCCTGAAAGTCCAAAAAACAAACCCCATAATTATCACATATTAATACATATATATATAAGGTAACTGCAAAAGAGATCGTAGTGACGACAAATGGTAACTACAAAACTACTGAAATCACCCTAAACTGACATAAGGTAATAAGAGAGAGAGAGAGAGAGAGACCTTGGAATACAGAGAGAGAGAGGTGGCTTGTATGTAGCTCTAGCTCTGGCTCTCTTCTCCTTTATATATGTGTGGTGGTTGGTTGCTAACGCCGTTAGCTGCGGCGGTCGTTGGTTATAAAGAAGTTTCCAAAAAGGAAGTTAGTTAACGGCTAGTGTAAGCAAAGGTAATGAGAAACGTGACTCACATGTCCGTTAAAATAGTTGAAATTCAAATGACGAAAACGCCTTTCCAGCTCCAAATCTATATACAGTAGTGTTAAATAAACACACTTTTCAAGTTGAATGATCAATCAATCAATTACTCTTATGTATTATTTTTTTTCTTTCATATTTTTTTAATAGAAAAACTACATGTAGGTAGGAGTTCAGAGAAAAAACTATAAACATATGAAAGGTGCAAGTGTATTGTGAAGGGGTGCAAATGAAAGACTGTAGAAGTGTAAGTGTCATTTGCACCTCTCTATATGTTAGTAATTTTTTCTCTCGTCCCCCACTTTCATGTAGTTCCTCATTTTTTAATTATCAACTAATCATCTCACTTACATATTATTGGGTTTAGAAATTGAATTTAAAAAGTGAGTTTGTATATTATTTTTCATTTATATAATATAATAGAACCATTATATACAATTGTTTTTTTTTTAAAAAAAGTTAAGTACTATGTTGAATTAACCTTGCCAAATCTTTATGGTTGATAATGGTAGACAAAATTTAGAAAAAAAAAAAAAAAGATATCAAAAGATTCTAAACCTTATTAAAAACTTTTTTTTTTTTTTTTGGAATTCAAAAAATTTTGGGTTGATTTTATTAGAGTAAAAAAAGATGATGAAAACTGAAACTAAATAAAAGAAAATTTTATTTTCTTGAATGTATTTGGTTGAATTATTGGAGAAGGACTAAACCTAAATTGACGTAAACTAGTGTAGTAAATAGATATATGAATTTCTTTAATTTGACTAACGAAATGACCTTGGATAGAGTCGAATGTAGAAAAATGATTTATGCAACTGATCCCATTTAATGAGACTTAAGGCTTGATTTGGTTTGGTTTATTTGGTTAATTTATTATTATTATTTTTTTAAATTGTGAGAAACTTGTAAGAAAATTAAAAAGTAAAATAATAATTACATACTTTCACCAAAAAAGAAAAAAAAAAATCTTATTTTTGCAAGAAACTGAAGGCCAAATTACAATACTGATACAAGTTGTACAACAAATTTATTTATTTGCGCCACTGTCATGTTAACAAACACACAAAAAAAAAAAAAAAAAATCTTTCTTTTTCTTGCACTTCGGTGCATTAATTTCCTCCAAATTATTTTGTTATTTCAAGGGACTATTATTAAATAAATAATCAGACTTAATGGGCAAGCCAGGAAGGTGAGATATAAAACATACATATCTTTTATTGTCTTGAGGTTCCTGTTAATTGAAGCAAAAAGAAAAAAGCTTTAGCTAATAGTTAGTGACCAATCACACAATCAATTTATATACTACAAAGTGTTTGGTGATAAAAGCAATTAAAATTTCAAAAAACAAAAAATCCTTCAATTTCACTCCAAAATCCCTGGGTTTTCCTATTAACATCCCCAACCAGCATCATACAGAAATTGGATCAAGTGTTGTTGCACCAGCAGGAGGAAATTACAATCCAAATTCTGAAAGGTTATGCTTATATTTCCGATTTGTAGGAAATTATAATGGAAAGAAAAAGAATTAAAAAAAAAGGGTTCAATTTGCAATGTGCATTGCATTTATATTTATTTATGAATTTGAATGAATTTAAATAATTTTTAAATTAGTGACATTGAAAGAATCTTAAGTTTTGAATTGAGTAAAAGATCATCTCATTTGAGATCTGTTTAAAACGTAAATAAGTTGAATTTGAGCTCATTTTCAAACGAAAATTGAACAATTTACTCCTTAGCTGGACTCAACTCAACTTTTCAGTCTCAAAATCATTACCATGACCAGAAACTCTCTCTCTCTCTCTCTCAAATTTCCATGGGTACTCCTGAGGCCTACAGTTACAGTTTTCAGTACCATGTTGTCTGTAAACCACTTCTTATTTACTTTAATCTGTGGTTTATTTGCACACAATTTTAAAATTTTAGTTGATCTGCCTAAAAGTTTCCCACTCGAACATCAAAACATCAACAATATTTTTGGCATTACCATGCACAAGAACACAACGAAGCCTGACAACAACAAAGAGTGAGAAAAGCTAGAGAATTGGCAAATTCATCGTTCACCGACATTACCACCCAGTGAAGGAGATAGGAACCACCATTGCCTAAAACAAAACATGATAAGCTACCAAAACCTAATCCTTTATAGCAGGAGATCAATGGCATTGCAGGTGAACCTAAGCTTAACATATTTCTGCACAAAAACGTGAAAATTCTCTCTTATCTGATTGTAAATGTCTACGACTACATGAAACATGGCTACAATACCTATCAGAAAAATGAAACATCATGTGAAAGAATTGGGCCCTGAAACACCACGCTTCAGGACAGAGAGATGCAAGAAAGAAAGAACAAAGCAATGTACAAGATCAAGCAGAGAGCTCTGAGCATGTCAAAGTTGACCCTTTACAATCTGTGCAAGGTATGCCTTGTCTGCGTCAGCTAGGCGATCCTGAAACTGAGCCCACTCGCTTCTGCACCTATCTCTTACCTATAAGTGAATTGGAGATAAGCCAAACTTAATTATGAAAATTTTCTTGTTAATGAATGTTAATAAAGATGTCATGCATTAATGATTTCAAACTGCTTTTTACCAAAAAAAAAAAGAAAAGGGATCAACATGACCAAAAAAAAAAAGTTATATTAAAATTTTGTGTAAATACACATACCCCTTGCCATGGAGATTTACCGTTCTCAGACTGGCCCTGAATTTCACGACAAATCGGATAAATGAGAATGGTAATTAAAAAGCAGATATTTCAATGAACCATAAGATAATGATATCGAGAAAATATGAACCAAACAAATGAACAAGAAGAGTAATAACCCTGGCACTTGGGATGGTAAAAAGAAAAGAATCGTAGAAGACAAGGAAAAATATTAGCATAGGAAAAATTCCTATCCTACATCATCTTCTCTTCAAATAACCCACAATATTTACAGCTGAAGGCCAAGATTTGGGCCTTTCTTAAATGGGTTAATATCCACAAACAACACAACGTAATTAAAAAAAACCAACTCAAAAGGGGTTGACCCATGATTATTCACACTAGGAAGAAAAGAAACCCTACAACACTTCTGAACAAGAAACTGAATGCAAAGACGGTATCCAAATCTTCAAAGAGAGTACTATCAACACACAAAAGTAGCAACAAAACTTGACAAGGTACACATGTCTGATGAGAAAGCATATATAAATTAGCCGTGAGATGGCCTGATATCTCTTTCTCTATTGTTTAGTCAATTTAAGTAGAATAGAGACATGCATGTAGGGAGGCTGCATAGCATATTCTGAAATATCTTAAAAGGAAGCCCCTGGGAAAGTATGGGGTTTAAGCTTCCTTGACATTATTCAGTTCTCCAATGCAGATTGGCAAGGTGATTAAATGGATAGGAGGTTGATTTGAATTAGTGTACTTTTGTTAGTGGCAACCGAGTTACTTGAAAGAGTAAAAAGCAAAATGATTAGTTAGGTAGATAGCATGGAGGTGAAGTAAAGAGCTATGGCTTATGTGGCATGTGAAAACTGATAAACATGAGAATGTTCAGTGACAATCAGGCTGTGATGTTCACTGCTAGCAATTCTTGTATTTCATGAGAAGACAAAGCGTATAGATTTGTGTTTCTTCAATTTTTTATTTTTTTTTATTTTTTTTTATCAACAATAGAAGATTTTATTAATAGATCAAAAAAGGAGAGAGGATGAGGCAGCCTCATACAAAGGGAAAATGAAAATACAAAGTGCAGAATCCCAACAATATTATCACAAGCAAAAACCTATTAATCACACACCTATAGTCAATCTCTAGCTAACAAAAAAAATGGAACCCCCCTTAAAGAGTGAACTCCCCGAAACCCAAAAGGAAGTTAAGTGGCAAACTTTATCCCACAATCAATCCACTTCCCAAAACTTATCTTCAAACAACTTTGCATTTCTTTCCAATCATAGAACCCAGAAAGTTGTAAAGACGGCACAAGACCATAATTTTTGGCTCTCTTCGATCCTCCAAATGCGCGAAAATCAACTAGGAGCATTTGCGCACTCCTTTTTGGTGCTACCCACATAACATTTCCCATGAGGAACAATCTATGCCATAATTTCAAAGCAAAAGGGCAATGGGGAAATAAATGATCAGCTGTTTCCCCATTCTTACAACACATAATGCACCATTGAGGATTTATAAAATGATTAGGCCTTCGTTTCTATAATGTATCATTTGTCAAGATGCCTCCATGAACCAAGGCCCACATGAACACCTTCACCTTTAGTGGAGCACAAGACTTCCAAATTCTTTTGCAAAAAGGACATTGAGGAACTTGAGGATTATCGATGATTTTATCAAAAAAAAGACTTATAAGAAAATATCATGGAAGAATGAAGAGCCTACACCCTCTTGTCCTCCAAAGGAGGAGCCAAAGAAAAATGATCAACCCTGGATAACAAAGTGGTCAACTGTGAAGCCTCTCTATCATTAAGGTTCCTTGAAAAATTAAAATTCCAGGAAATTGGAGCCAAAAGTGAACAAGTCATGAAAGCAATAGAGGAATTATGAGACCTAGCCACTCTGTAAAGATGTGGAAAATTAGAAGCAAAAGAAGATTGACTCAACCAAACGTCTTCCCAGAACCGAACAAGTTCCCCATTGCCCACCCTCATAGAAAGATAACAAGACCAACATATATAGATATGAGAAATAGATTTCCAAGGAGCACGACTGTTACCCCTCTAAACCACCTGTGAATCCCTACCATTGTCTTGAGTCTCATATTTGCTTCTAATAGTCGTGTGCCAAAGTGAATCATTTTCAAGTGGAAATCTCCACAATCATTTGCCAAGAAAGGCCATTTTCTAGCCACCATGTTACCAATAGCCAAACCCCTTTTCTCCTTAGGTAACGAGAATAAATCCCAATTCACCAAGTGATCCTTCTTCTATAGCGACCTCGGTCTTTTCTCTTTAAATTATTGTATCCGGACTTAGGTTCCGTGGATCCTGTCATTACTTATTGGTTGTTGTTGTCGTCCTTTAATCTCTTTGTATTTGAGTTATAGGATGTGTTGGGCAGGTCTGTTACAGGTCGGTTGAGTTTAGATGCGAAAACTAGTTGCCCGGATTTTAACCTGTCCACTCGAGCGGGAGTTTGACGCTCGAGCGGGGATTCTTTTGTTGCTTGTCCGCTCGAGCAGGGGGTTTGGCGCTCGAGCGGGATTTTGTGTGTGACGCTCGAGCGGGGAGTTGGACGCTCGGACGGGGACCTATTCTGCAAAACTTCTGGATGGTTGTATCCGCCGCTCGAGCGGGGTTTTTGGCGCTCGAGCGGGAGTCTGTGAGTGAGGCTCGAGCGGGGGGTGCCATAAAATCACACAAACAAGCCAAAGTAAACAACAAAAGGCCAACCCACACATAGGTAAACACCCTAGCAAGCACCACACAATCCCAAGTAAAAGAAACAAATGCCACTGCTCACCAAAGAATTGTCACAGGCCAGGCTTGGACAACTGCATTCTTTGGGTTATTAGTAGCATAGGCCCTACCCACCCCATGTCCACCCTTACTGTGGGCAATCAAAAGTCACGTGGTGCCAAGAGACCTTTAAAAGGCTTTAATCCACATCTAGCAATGTGCTTCAACCAAGCATGGTGACCATCCATTTTCAACCTCATGACAGTTGCAGCACTACTACGCACCGGATTGAGTACCAACCAGCATGCTTTACTCACTACACCCTCTCTCAACTTGCGGCTGAGGTGCCAGTGCCAAACCCGTCACATAAGTTTCGTTTTACAAACATTCTGTTCAAATAAATGAGAAGCCATTAATCGGCATGGGTAACTCAGTGGTTAAGGGCTAACTCTGGAATGAACTGTAGACTCAGGTGTCTTGGTTTAAATTCTTGTTAGTTGTTATGCCTGGTCCTACCTTGTGCCTTGAGGTTGCATGAGTGTATCTAGGGTTTATTCAACCCATACACAGGATGTGTGGGGTAAGGTTCCTTGTTGACAAAAAAAGAGACCAAGAAATTAAGTGTTGAGGCGTGGCCTCATTCCAGTCTTCTTTTGTTTAATTTGTATAATTAATTCATGGAATTGGGAAAAGATGGTTAAATTCATGGAATTGGGGAATTCATTGATTAAATGGCGTAGTTGGATAATTTGAATCATTTGTTTATTGAATTGTTGACATAGTTATTTTCAGTTTAGAAGTAACTGTTTTGGGCTATCGGTGGAGGATAGTCGTGATTGTTGTAGACATTGCATGTGGATTAGGTATAACTGAAACTAATCACATTGGTTAAGTCATTAATTTTGACTATTTCATTGATACAGAAAATACTTGTATTGATTGAGCATTGCATTTGCATATATTGTTTTGTGTGGGAGGAGATAGGGGGTGTACTCCACGGTTTAGGGGAAGATAGGGGATGGACCTCTAAACCGGATTATTGTTTGGGAGGAGATAGGGGATGTACTCCACGGTTTAGGGGAAGATAGGGGATGGACCTCTAAACCGGATTATTGTTTGGGAGGAGATAGGGGATGTACTCCACGGTTTAGGGGAAGATAGGGGATGGACCTCTAAACCGGATTATTGTTTGGGAGGAGATAGGGGATGTACTCCACGGTTTAGGGGAAGATAGGGGATGGACCTCTAAACCGGATTATTGTTTGGGAGGAGATAGGGGATGTACTCCACGGTTTAGGGGAAGATAGGGGATGGACCTCTAAACCGGATTATTGTTTGGGAGGAGATAGGGGATGTACTCCACGGTTTAGGGGAAGATAGGGGATGGACCTCTAAACCGGATTATTGTTTGGGAGGAGATAGGGGATGTACTCCACGGTTTAGGGGAAGATAGGGGATGGACCTCTAAACCGGATTATTGTTTGGGAGGAGATAGGGGATGTACTCCACGGTTTAGGGGAAGATAGGGGATGGACCTCTAAACCGGATTATTGTTTGGGAGGAGATAGGGGATGTACTCCACGGTTTAGGGGAAGATAGGGGATGGACCTCTAAACCGGATTATTGTTTGGGAGGAGATAGGGGATGTACTCCACGGTTTAGGGGAAGATAGGGGATGGACCTCTAAACCGGATTATTGTTTGGGAGGAGATAGGGGATGTACTCCACGGTTTAGGGGAAGATAGGGGATGGACCTCTAAACCGGATTATTGTTTGGGAGGAGATAGGGGATGTACTCCACGGTTTAGGGGAAGATAGGGGATGGACCTCTAAACCGGATTATTGTTTGGGAGGAGATAGGGGATGTACTCCACGGTTTAGGGGAAGATAGGGGATGGACCTCTAAACCGGATTATTGTTTGGGAGGAGATAGGGGATGTACTCCACGGTTTAGGGGAAGATAGGGGATGGACCTCTAAACCGGATTTTTGTTTGGGAGGAGATAGGGGATGGACTCCATTAGCACCATTTTTATGTGTGCTTATTATATTGAAGTTTTTTACATGATTATTGATACAGCACTAAAATGTGTATCAAATGGGAAGTATGAAGTGTTTTGATATGAGCCTGAGTCTCATTTGTTTGTTTGATATTGGAAGTAATGTGAATATAACATATATAGTTCACTGTGGTAAGTTTGGCCAGGTTCTGAGCCATATTGATAATAAAGAAAAGTGAAACGTGTCATTGACATTAGTGTCATGAAACTGTATAATGATGTAATTGATTATCTTGGTTAACCATCTATTGAATGCTAATGCTTTATTCAATGCTTATATTTGGTTTAGTATTTTTCTACTGGGCTGTGGCTCACCCTTTATGGGAACATCATTTTCAGGTTCAGGTGATAAGCTACCTCCACGGACTTAGCCTGGAAGGATTTGATGTTTGGGATTTTGAAGACTTGTCTTTAGTTATATGTTTTATTTTGTTATTTTTTGAGATTTCATGTAAACATTCAAGCCTAGGGCTTAACTTGTAAATGAGTTAGTACTCATCATTTTGTGTCCAAGTGTTAGCTTGGAAAGATGTAAGCCCTTAGGGCATTTATTTTGATGTTGCAGGATGTTACACGTGATGTCTTTCAATAAGAATACTCTGATGAATAACTCAAATGATTCGTTTTCTTTTATAAATGCATGTTAATGTTATGGTTATTATGGGTTTATTTCGAGGGCGTTACATCTTCCCCTCATCTTTACCCTCCCACAGAAAATCCCTCATCAACTTTTCTATTGACCTTGCCACTTTAACTGGAATCTTGAACAAAGATAAGAAATAAATGGGAATACTACTGAAAACAGTCTTAACAAAAGTGTATCTACCGCTCCGTGACAATAAAGCCTCACTCCACCCTTCCAATCACTTATCTATCTTTTCCATAACTGAATTCCAAAAAGCTTCACTTCTAAGATTACCCCCTAATGGAAGTCCCAAATACTTGAACGGAAGTGACTTGATTCCACAACCTAAAAGTGTCACCCTACTCTGAAGCTAGTTGTGCTGCATATTAATGCCCACCATACTACTTTACTCCAAATTAACCTTAAGCCCTAAAATTCCCTCAAAAAGTCCTAAAATTGTGTAAAGATTAACTACTTGACCCTTATCCCCTGAAGCAAAAAATATGGTATCATCCACATATTGTAAATGTGTCATACTAACTCTATCCCTTTCTATGTCTAACCCCACAAAAAGACCTATATCCCTAGCTCTATCAACCATCCTTCCCAAAATGTCGGCCACCAAAATAAAAAGAAAAGGAATAATGGATCCCCTTGTCGTAGCCCCCACGAAGCCCTAAAGCATTCCCCCTTGGTTTACCATTAACTAACACTGACATGTTGCAAGTCACCAAACATCCCCTTACCTAAGATCTCCATCGTTCACCATAACCCTTTTTGTTCATTACAAAATCCAAAAATTGCAAATCCACATGGTCATTAGCCTTTTCAAAATCAACCTTAAAAATAAGTCCCTCCTTCTCTAGACTCCTATACTCCTCTACTAACATTTGGCACTAAGGCTACATCTAAGATTTGTCTACCTTTCACAAAAGCTCCTTGCATCTTAGACACAGTCTCCCCCAAAGAAATCCTTAATCGCTTTGATAACACCTTCTCCAAAATCTTATAAAGTGATGTGACCAAACTTATGGGCCTAAAATCTCCAATTCTTAGGGATTAAACAAATAAATGTGGCATTTGTGCCCAAGTTAACAACTCCCGACTCATGAAATTCCAAAAAAACTTTCACCAAATCCCCTTTCATCACCTCCTAACAATCTTGAAAAATGGCCATGGAAAAGCCATCCGGGCCTGAAGTTGTCTCTTTCCCAATCAAAGATTGCCTTCCTAATTTCCATCTCATCAAATGGCCTTTCAAGCCACATTGCAATTGCCTGATCAATGGTTCCCTACTCGAGTCCTACAATCCCCGGTCTATTCATTTCCTCCTTCGAATAAAGCTTAAAATAAAAATCATAAATTCCATTGACAATCTGATCCCCCCTCTCTTCCACTACCCCCGGGCTCACTTCTAATCTTTTGATAAACTTTTTTCTTTTCCCATTTGCAACCTTGTGAATTTTTTTTGAATTGAAATCCCCTTCCTTCAACCATTTAACCTTTGCCTTTTGAGCCCAAGAAATTTGCTTCCTTAAAACCAAATTTTCCAATTTCAATCTCAACTTCGATCTTTCTCTTCTTTAAATTCTACGCATCACCTCCTTCTTTGAAATCTCCAAATTCCTAAAAACCTCCCTATTCCAACACTCTACATTCTCTTTAACAATCTTCAATTTTCTCATAAATTTAAAACCATCCATGACGACTAGCATTGGCCCACCATTCCCCAAAATTTTGTTTGAAAGATGGATGCTCCAACCACATGTTCTCGAATTTGAAAGGCATTGGTCCCCATTTTAATGGGCAACCCTCAATCACTATGAGACAATGATCTAAGATTAATCTAGATAGCGACTCCTGTCTTAAATTGGGAAAAACCCCTTCCCACCCCAAGGAAAATCAAAATCTATTCAGTCTACTACAAACCAAATTCTCTTGAAGATTAGACCATATGAATATTGCATTACACAAACGAGGATCCACTAACTCACATTCTCTTATAAACAAATCAAAATACCTCATACCCCTGTTAATCCTATTCCTATTGAGCTTTTCTGAGATTTTCCTGACCACATTAAAGTCTCCCCCTAAACACCACATTGGGGAATACAACCCAAATAACCCATATAACTCCTTCCAAAATTCCTTTTTCCTAGAAGGCCTGTTAGGTCCATAAACCCCAGTCAACCACCACTCTGAATTGTCAAGATTCCTAAACCTAACAGAAAGTGAAACTCCCCCACTATAGTTTCACACTTTGAGACAACTCTCTCATCCCACATAACCAAAATGCCTCCTGATCTACCAGCTGAAGGCATGCAAGCGCAACCCCTATGTCTAACCCCCCAAATACTTTTCATGAACCACCTATCACACACTTCTGCTTTAGTTTCCTCAAAAACCACAATGTTCGATTGATAACACCTTAGAAAATCCTTAATAACACCCCTCTTTTTCTGAGAACCCAACCCTCACATTGCAACTAATGATCTTAATTGGAAAACATTCTCACCCTAACCTCCTCTCTCCTTCTCCCCTAATTAACTGAACATGATAAGTTCCTTAGCTCCCTAGCCCCCTTCTTACTGCTCTCTCTTTCCTTTCCACCAGCTTTCCCCCACGTGGTCATATTATTCCTACTTAATTCTCACTAGATTTGTGTTATCACTTACCATTTTCTTGGAGATGTAGTATTGAAGAAACAAATCACCGCAGAATATGTTAAGCCTGAAGATCAACTTATATTCACCACCACTTTAGAGAAAGAGGAGGAGTTCATTTGAGTTGCAACAAACTAGGCATTTTAGATCTTGTGTGATAGCTTGAGGAGCGTTGAAAAAGTAATGTTAGAGGCAAGTGTAAAATTGTAATCTTGCATTTAAAAGTTATAGAAAGGATCATATATAGTATGGGTCTAGCCCTTTCTCTTATTCTTTTACAATTTATTGTCCTCTCTTTCTTCTCTTCTTCCTTGCTCTCCTCTCTTTTCATATCAGCAGTTTGTAGAAACAGGAAGAATTGACCAAAAAAATGCTATTCTACTAAACTCTTGTTACATGAAGCAATCCTAGGCACAACAATGACCTATAAAATGGTCTAAAACCAATCCAAGCTAATGATGACTCACCTGATTCCCAAGTGATGGAATTACTTGATGAACGACCCACTGTGAATCAACCACACCAATTTTCTCATGTGCAGGCTGCAGGATCAAAATAAAAGTCATCACTTTCTGCTTAATAGAAGCAGCTGTCCTAATCTACAAGATGTAGAGCTCTTGATGTTGATGTATATCTTTTGACTGTCATACATTCACCCCCCCCAAAAAAACAGCATGTACATATGCAAGTTCTGAAACATTTGCAATCGTCAGCAATGAAAAGTGGGAAAACAACTACCTCTACGCATCTTCTGAGGGCAAAATCCAATCCCCATCCATGAACCAAGTCATTCTACAACCATATTATACAAACAAAGAGGTTAGTGTAGCTAAAATCTGAAAACACCAAAAATAAAATAGGAAAATTATTGTTTCAGAAGGCACTCTCAGAATGGAAAAAAATAATATGTATGAAAACATATGACACAGTTTACATATGCAATCCCAAATAAAATGAAAGAACACCTGAATCATATGCCAAACACAGCGCCATGCTTCCCGAGAAAACACAGGGGCCATAATCTCCACAAATCTGAAAAAATGTAGAAATAGAAACAACTAGTTACACGGAAATATTAAGAGCATTTGAAACCATATATGAATTACGAAACTAGAGTTTGTATCCAGAACACAACGCTTTAGATACATCGCCAATCTTGTTAAATCAATAAATCTTCATATATATGACTTTTAATATTCAGCGAAATTTGTTGCCAAAGTCTCCAATTTTCTTGCAGTAGACACATCCCACGTTCCCTGTAATGTAGATTGTTTTGACACGTGGAACAGGAATTGGAACAGCACACCACATATCCTACAATGGGGTTTAATAGGTTTGAGCTCATAGATCACACAGCTCAATTGTGTTGAGATATTCATAAATGAAGAAGTAGTTTGCTTTAAACAAATTGATCATTAGGAAATTGTTCAAAAATCCACAAGAAGAAAAGATGTCTATTTACTTTAGAACTTTGTTATACTTCAAATTTGGAATTAATAAAGTAAAAACAGAATGCTTATTGTTCCCAATATAAGTTGAGCTGTTGATGGATGCGCCAAGTAACTTTACTCAAATCTTTGCTGAGAATCATTTTAGGTTTTAGTTTTAATTTTTGTTAATTTTTACACTATATAAAGAAGAAAATTAAAAGAGGAAAAAGAAAAATATGAAGTCAATGCTCCAGAACAAAAGAAGATTTTTTTGGAAGGAGCTTTCCGAAAATCAATTATCTAAGGCAATACCATTTTTTGGTAACTCTTACGAGATTTTGTAAAATAATAATTAACTGAAAAATGAATAACTTTAGGTGATAAGAAAGAATACAATTGCCTTAGACTTGACTTGTGACATGACTTCTAATGAATCAAGCTAGAGAATATGGATCCATGAAGTTGAACCCAAGTAATCGAGACAAAGACTTGTTGAGTTTGGTTGTATAAAGAGTTTATGGAAATTAAATACAAAATAATTTCTTAGCTTCCTATCCACATATATATATTTGATAAGTAAAATCAAATTGTATTGTGCTATTATATCAATAACACCCCAAAGGTGCAGGCATGTACAAATGAATAAAAAAAGCTATGACATAGAAATTGACTGCAGGGAATCATTCCCTTCATTCCTAACATTCTTTTATTGACTTTTTGAAGGAATTGTATATATTACCTTAAAAATCTATGGGTATAGGGTATCTATTACATGCATCAAGTGCAAAAGGCTAGGCTCCCTAGTTATTTGGCACCATTTTGTATTGTATATGCTTGCCAAAAAAATATAAACTTAAAAAATAACTCAGGCAACCTATGAGCCGACCTTCAAATCTAGGGTCTATCAAATGTGTTGCATAAGTACTGTGCTTCACACACCACACTTTAAAGAAAACAATTCATGTTCTAGTTCATATCCAATGTAAAGTTGATATCATTTAAATATCAATGCATGAGCATCAAGAATAAATAAAAAAAGACATGACATGGTTGAAAAACCCTCTTCAGAGGCCCACTACAATGCAAGGCTGGTTGATATACTACATTATAACAGAAAATTTAACTTTGACCCATTTATATATGTTTACCAGTCCGATTTGACTGCAAAAACTGACATTAATCTTATCCTACTTAATGATTTTCCCAAAAAAGTGTAGGAATCATAGTGTAATTGCAGGCTCCTATACTTGGATAACAGGCTATATGGCAAGTTGAACGAATAGATTTAATATATGCATTTTTATAGGGAGAGGAGAATAAATATTGACTTGTCGAACCAATTTAGGCAGGTAAGTTATTAAGATTGTATGTGTCAAATGTGTGCATGCGAGAGAGAGAGAGAGAGAGAGAGAGCTTACGCAGCACATGGAGGTAAATGTGGGTCACCGCACCAGCCTGGTTTCTCTTCTGTATTCCTGTTCACCAATCCAGACATGTAGGACTTAAAACTCTCTACAGATTCAGTGGCTTTATAAAAAAATGTTACAACATCATCCATATAACAGTATCACCTCCTACATAGACTTGAGGACATGTGTTAGGTGTGGCCATGTGTCTAAGGGTTGGTTTATGTAATTCCAAAGACAATGCAACATGACTAAATATTCAAAATGGTAAACATAGAGCACTATGCTTCAGATACATCCATCCCCTACCAATGTTTTGTGTGTTCTGCATATGCTTACATGCATTCAAAATAGTCCACGTAACATCAAAAATCACATTTTTACTTTCTTTCTTTTTTTTTTTTCTTTTTTTTCTTTTTTTTCTCAGAAGAGTCTGGGTGAAAACTGAAAACAGTAAAGCCTACTTGTGAACTTCTCTGTCACCTCTCCTTTTTGTCATCTGCCATGTTAGTCCGTTATTGGGCTCAAGACCTGGTTGAGAAATATCCAAACCATGTTTCTTAACCAGTTGAATGTACCTGGTAAATAAATTGCAGAGGAAAAGAGCATGTAAATTTTGGATTCGACTGCTTAAATAAAAAAGAGAATCAAGGAAAACTTACTTGTCACCATTAAAGTGTTCAACTCCCAGATCTTCATCCCAGATGAAAATATACTCATAAGCTGCAATAATATCAGGATGCAAAAACCTCTTTGCATACCACCTGCAAAAAAATTTAAAATTTTATATGCAGAAAGAAGCCACAAAAATTGCACATCAGCAGAAACACAACTGGTAGCAAATCTTATAATGGTCATTTGAATCTACGAAAGGATGCAATATTAATGAAAAACAAATCAGTCTTTATTTCCTTTCCCAATAAAGAAAGGGTATAATATCTCTGTTTTATGAGTTCTCTTTTCAAACATGGTATAGTGGAAAATGTGGTATAACACCAAAAATATGTAAAATACTAAAGCATCTTACCATTTTGTTTGCTTTCTTACACTGACATGGATGGCCCTCTTTGACCACTCAAATTGATCCCATTCGCTTGTCCAGCCATCATAATGAAAAAGCATAATTTGAAAATCCTCAGAAAACTATCAAAAAATAAAATAAGATTACAAATCTCTACTTGCAACACCATAAAAATACTACAAATAATGAAATGGTCCATTTGTGTAACCTTTTTAACTGCTGCATCAATGTTGTTCCTCTGATCCAAACCAACTGTGAATGTTACCAAGTATTTCGGCTTCATTGTCAAATCCTGAAAGTTACAGAACGTTCTCCATAAGATAACTGGAGTTATGAGAGTAGTTACACACATGCCAATCAATGGAAATTTCATAGTATGAGACGGTTTCTTTTTGCACTTATTCCAATTTTTAGTATTTTATGATGTGAGGGTTTCTCACTTGCTTGTCACCAACGATGATAAGCCAATTAAATCCACAAGCAGCCAACCCAGCCGTACCAATCTTAACAAATCTATGCATCACACATTAAAAAATAACCAAAACCTGAAAAATACAGTTTCGCAAACAGGTTCCACACAATTTCAAAAAACAATGATAAGAGTAATACCCATGAAGCCTTTAACAAGAACATTTCAAAGATGAGAAAACTTTAGTTAAAGAATTACTAAGTAGAATATGCCATGGTCTTAGATATGGGATGAATTGTTTATTTTTTTATTTTTACTCACTAAACAACAATGTCTACTCTATTAGGACTTCCGAAATCATATATGGTCATAGTTGAGTTGGAGAGTTAACAAGAAATTAAAAACTTTACAATGATTAAAACCAATTCCACCATCTAAAATAGGTAAATAATTGCAAGCTCCAGCACCATAACACAGTCATTTTGTTGAACAACATACCTCACTGGGTTCACCCCATAATCTTCGCAAATAAAAATCGGACTGAGAGACTACAATTGCTGGAGGTAAGGATTCTGCACCACGAGGATTTGTCGGAACATATATCTGGGAGGAAAACCAAACACAAACAGGTTATCAGCCTAAACAAAAATTGAACATGAACTCTGGGAACACATTTTGCTGTTGTAGCAACTGAGAAAAGATATGGGAAAAGCCTGTTGATCTAGTATTTCCAGATAAGCTATAACACAAGATGGCAGAAAATGACACAATTAAAGCCAAGTTATCAAACTAAGAAGCATGGACATTTTTATGAAGCTGTGTACCCGTAAACTCTAGCATTGTTCTGTTGACATTTGTCATGCAATTGTTTGAGAGAAACATAATTTAGAGACACAAGGGAAGGGACATAATTCTTTTTTTTTTTTTTTTGCAGCAAATCACTTTCATTGATCAATAGGTCGTTGGCATCAATTTCTGAGGGTGTTACTAAATCACTGGTTTATATTTTTCTTGAACAATAACATCATCTCATGTAAGAAGACAAACAAGCAAGGAATCACTGGCCCTTTAAGCGATAATTGACCTTGGAATGACACATGTTAAGAAAACGTAGAAGAATTAAATAACCAAGGAAAAGGTACCTTAGGTGGTGCTTTGTCAGTGGAAACACGAGTTTCAGGTATGTGGTTACTAATGGATCTAGAATGATCATTGTTAAAGGCTACGTCAAGAGATGATACAATGCTTGAATGTAAATTAATCTGCAAGAATGCAATCGCAATGAATCAAATGGATAATAGGTGCCTCATGCAACATAGGGTCATTGACAGAATGAGCCAACATACCTTATTAAGGGAAACAGATGGAAAAGAAATTCCAATAAAATATCCAAAGATCATTCCAGTTAAAGTCGTAATTACAAGTCTGATAGTGTCATTTGATTTTTTAAAGGCTCCGCTGCAACCAAAACAAGAAAACTAATCAAGGTGGTTTCAAAGAATTAGTACTGCATTTTGGCCCTTCAAGTGTCTTGCACAAGTTAACCAGACAAATATAGGAAAATATCAGTACAAACCTGCGGTGTATGGTCCCCATCTTGGTAAAGTCACTCAAATCAAGCGTCATGCACTGGGCAAAACCCTATTCCTTAAGCAACTTTTGAAGCATAAACAGCATTCTCCAGTTTCAATTGATTTTCCCAATACTAATTTCTGTTACACAAATCCATACGATATTCAATACATAACAAACAAATAAATGCAAAATCTGAAGCAAAACATTGTATAAAATCTTAAGCCAAGTTTTCTGCAATCCTTCTACATTATTCTCTCATTAAATTCCCCCAAGTTTAAAATAACAATTTAATAATTAATAAACTCATAACCCAGTATTCTTTGATGAGTTTTGCGCAACAGTTGAGGTAAAATATCATGTTAAAAGTTAAAAGTTCAAAGCAGATGAGCATGACCAGACCAAAAAATAAAACCCTAAAAAACCCAGCATTTTTTTTTTTAATATAACTGAAAACCCAGTACGATTATGCAATTTTAAGCCTAGGTTCGCGTTGAACAAATACTTTTTTTTTTTTTTTTTCCTTTTCACTTTTCACTTTTTGTTTTGGTAAACCAAGTTATCATACTTAAACACTCTGATCTTCAAATGAGGGTTCATCAGACATTGCAGTGATGATTGACACCAAAAACATAGTATTTACACTGCTTACAAATACCACGCAACGATCATTCACATGATCTAGAATTCTTCTAGTATAAGAGTGATTTTAAACTACAGAGATTTCAATTTATGAATTTAGTAGCATTAAAGCAACGCAGAATGGAGGAAATTAAGACGAAAAGAAAAAGAATAAGAGAAGAAGAAGAAGCGTTAAATAAAGGCAAATTAATGAGTATATTGTAATCTGTACATGAATCAAGAATCCTATTATACAGGAAAATAAAAATGATGAATGAATTCTGGTATTATGATCGAGAGAGTATTGCAGAATTGATCAAATTCAAAGAGCATTAGGAAGGGCTAGAGAAGCTTACAGATTTCGCCGATAGCAAGCGACCCAGAGAGACAGAGAGAGAAGGTGTATTTGTTGCAACAATGGAATAATGGATGGTTATGAAATTTAAAAAATGGTGGTGCGATATCAATTAATTAATGTATATATTAATATATTAATTAGTATTATATTATTATTATTATTAATTTTACCTATTATATAAATTATAAATATTTAAAACTAATAAAATTATGCTATATAATCTATTAATATATCAGTTAATATATCAATTAATATATCAGTTGGTATTCATTTGAAAGAGACTGAAGGAGTTAGGAAACTAAACTAAAGGATAGGAATAAATTTGGATAATTTTCACATTGACCGGGAGGTGGTTTCATTTTATCTTATTTATTTATTTATTTTTTGATGAATTGCATGGCTTTTTTATTTTATTTTATTTTATTTTTTATTTTTAACACTAAATTGAGTTGTTGACGTTATATATGAAGAAATGTATGATAGGAAACCCAAAATTTCATTCAATATGTTTGATTTCAATTTTCTGAATTTAATTTTTTGAAAATTAAATTTTTTATTTTTTATTTTTTAAATATATTTTTAGTGAATATTTTTAAAATTTTAAGCAATTTTTAAAACTTTTTTAGATCCACTTTATTTAGATGTATCTAAAAAGTAAAATATTTATAAAAAATATTTTTAAAATGAATAAATACGCAAGAATACGAAAAATGTATTGAATTTTTTTATATTTTTGGTATTTTGTGAATTTTTTAATATTTTTTTTACAAATATTATACTTTTTAAGTGTGTTTATGTTAGGTGTATCTAAAAATTAAAAAAATTGCTTAAAATATTAAAAAAATTCAGTAAAAACAATAAAATACGAAAAATAAAAAATTTCAATTTTTTAAAAAATGAATCCTGAAAATCCAAACCAAACAAGCTTATTATTTTTATACTTTTATCAAAATCTTACTTTAATCTTTACATTTTCACTAAATTTTTTTTGAAGCTATTCAATTTTAATTTTTGTCAATCTCACTAATGATAAATAAACAAAAAAGTAACATTCACCCTATTTGATTCTAATTTTCTGAATTCAATTTTTTGAAGAATTGAGTTTTTTTTTATTATATTTTTTACGTTTTTAAATTTTTAGTGATTTTTTTAATATTTTAAGTACATTTTTTACTTTTTAGATACATTTAATATAAATACAATTAAACATATAATATTTGTAAAAAAAAATCTTTAAAAATTCACTAAATACTAAAAATATAAAAAAACATAAAAATTCAGCATATTTTTATATTCTTGTGTATTTATTAATTTGTAAAAATATTGTGTTATAAATATTTTATTTGTAAGGTATATTTAGGTTAAATTCATTTAAAAAGTAAAAAAATTGCTGAAAATATCAAAAATTTACCAAAAATAAAAAATATAAAAAATAAAATCCTATTCAATTTTAAGAAAATTAAATTCAAAAATTAGAACCACAAACAAGTGATTAATTTGAATACGCTACGCGTTGTTGATTTGGTCGGCCACGATGTACGGATAACGCCCCTAGGACCGTTATTTGAAATTCCTTCTTGTGCTGTTTCTTTCAATTTAGAAAACCATACATGCGTATACGCGTGAATGAGTGGTCGTTTGAGGATTCTTGTTTAATTTTTAAATTTTTTTTTTTTACGTAAAGACTAGTGATTGTGCACATGCAATGTACGTGGCATGTCATCTAATATAAAAATACTTTTTAAATGAAAAATTGCATTAATTAGAGCATTTCGCTTATTGGTTGTGTATCATCTTTTCCGAGTTGAGATTTCGTATTTAAATTTTATAGAGAGGAAGTTTCATGTCATTTATGATTATTGGTTTACTAGCATAATATTCGTGTCATGAACGGGATAGATAAATAATTAAAATTTAATTTTTTAAATTAAATAAAAACATAAAATTTGTCTAAAATATATATGAAAAATAATTTAGAATCAATTAAACATTAATTATTTTCATCAGAATTACACTTTAATCATTTCTAAATTAAATAAATAAAATCTCTTCAAACCCATCTCCTAATATGATTGCCTAAAATCAATTCTCTAATTTAAAAAATAATAAATATTCATGTATCTCACATAATTTGTCTTTTTCTAAAATCAAATACAGAATCACAGCGTGTTAACCTTTCAATTTAAACAAATGAATAAAATATTCCTAAGATGATTGCCTAAAATCAATTCTCTAATTTAAAAAATAATAAATATTCATGTATCTCACATAATTTTCGAATTAAACAAACAAATAAATAAAATTCCTTCAAACTCATCTCCTAAGATCATTGCTTAAGATTTGTCTTTTTCTAAAACCAAATACAGAATCACAGTTTGTTAACCTTCCAATTTAAAGAAATGAATAAAGTATTTATTTATCTATCTTTTAAAATGTTTACATAAAACCTTCATTCCCTAAAATAAATCAAAGAAACATCAATTCAAATTTGTTCATAAATTTTCAAATTAAAAAAAATAAAATAAAATATCTTCAAAATCTTCTAACATTTTAACCTAAAATAAAAAAATATATAAAAAAAGATCAATTCAAATTGATCATTGCCTAAAATCAAATTTTCAATTTAAAAAAATAATAATTATTCACGTGTCTTATATAATTTCCGAATTAAACAAACAAATAAATAAAATATTTTCCAACTAATTTTTTGAATTAAAAAATTGAAAAAAAATACTAATTGGTTAGCCTGTCAAGAAATAAATTTTAAAATTCAAAATTATGAAAACCATCCCATAATTTTTAGATTTTAAAAGGAGAGAATCACTCAAATATAGAATAGGAAAACATAAAATTATGCCTTTCTATTTTATTTTTTATTTTTTATTTTTTTGAAGTAAATATTTTTAAAATTTGAAATTATATAAAACTAAAGTTTTATTTGGAATTTCCTTTAAAGGTTTTTAACTTTTAAATTAGATGGCTAAATTTTATTTTTGACATTTTATTTTTAAGATTTTTAATTTTTAAAATTATAGATATTATTAGATGTACTAATATTTCTATGCTATGTGTATTTACTAAATTTTAAAATTAAAAACTTATATTAATGTTTCAGATCCTATAGCATTTTGATGAAAAATCTTTAGGCCCGTTTGTTTTCAGAGGTAGAATGGATGTGATTCATAGTAAAGAGATTAATAGTGAGCAGATTGATAGTGAGGGGATTAAGTAAAATTGTGTTTGTTTTGATGATAGTTGTTAGTGTAGGAATTGTTAAATTATTTTTATATAAAATAATAAAACAAATAAAAAAATACAAAAACATTAAACATTAATGTTCCAAAAAAAAAAAATCCCAACATGTAAAAAATTAAAATAAAAAAATAAAAAATTTCTATAAAAAAATAAAACAAATAAAATAATGATTTTTACTTAACAAAAAATATAAAAAATTAAACATTAACGTTAAAAAAAAATACCCAACATATAAAAAAAATATATATATATTTATAGTCCAGCGGACTATTTTTCTAATACCACTTTCACCTTTTCCATCCCAAACCCCCTTCAAAAGCCTAACCTAATCTCCTCCTCCATCTTAATTCGTTCTCCAAACCTACAAACAAACACAACATTAAATGGATCCCACATCTATCATAATCTCATCCCCTCTTTTATACCCAAAACAAATGGGGCCTTATAGTTTTCTATCCCGCAACAATGCAATGTTCTAAGAATATTTATTTTGGTAGAGATGACGGAATGAAGAAGAGAATTACGATAATACGTTATGCCAATTCTAAATTTAAATTGATGGATTATTTTTTATATTTAGTGCCCTCAAATTTGAATTTTGAAATGAATTAGTATATTTTTTATTTTTTTTAGATTTGATATATTTTTCATTTGAAAGTCATAAATCAAGGGATATTAATTATTATTATTATTTTTTGCTTGAATAAGAGTTAGTCAATAGAAGATTTTTTTTGAGGAATTTACACACACATCGTAATTTATGAACTTATATTCTATTAAATCTTAGCTAAGATTTTTTGGACCTTCAAGTCCCATTAAATTTTTGATAATCGGAATTGTCATTCAAACAATGATTTTTTTTTTTATCATTTATGATTATCTATAAAAGAACAGGATGATTTGACTCATTTTGATTTCAAAACTTTAAAATATCAACTTTCAAATTGAAAAAACTAAAAAAAAAAAAATTATGTGTAAATTTTTTTTTTTGAAAAAATTAAAAAAATTGAATTATTTTTTTGTTCAAAACTGAATTTTTTGTGTATATAAAGGAGCATGATGATAGAACATTAACTTTAAAAATGAAAAAACTGATAATGTTTTCAGTTTTAAAATTGAAAAAGCTGTTAATGTTCTCGGTTTTGTTGGATAGTTGAATCAAAGCAATAAGTAGAAAAACATTTAATCTCAAGTTCTTTTTTTTTTATCAGTTAGTCAAATAATTATCTGGAACATTACTATGCAAAATTGATAATATTTTTAGTTTTAAAAATTGAGAAAAACGAACAATATTCTTAGTTTTATTAAATAAGACTTATTAATTCAAAAAATCTTAAATAGGACTTAAACTATCATAACATTTATAAATAGGACTTTTAGGTAATTAACTCTCTCTTTTTTTCTTTTTTTTTTTAATTTTAAAAAATCAAAAAAATTAGAAAGTTTAGATTGAAAACTTGATAGTCTTAGAGGCCTTATGACTAAATAAGACTTATTGTTTCAAAAAATCTTAAATAAGACCTGAGCTACAATAATATTTGTAAATAAGACTTTTTGATAATTTTTTTTTTAATTTTAAAAAATCAAAAAAATTTAAAAATTTAAATTAAAAATTTGAAACTCTTAAAGGCTTATGAGTTAATATATATATGCATATATTTTTCCATGTTGGTTGATATCAACCATTTGTGACAAACCAATAATGTGGTGTTTTGGGAAGTTAGTAAAAAATTAATTTTTGACTTTTTTTTAATCAAAAAAATTAACTTTTTAAATAGTAACTAGAGTAAATTTTTTTTTTTTTGATTAAAAAAACTAAAAATTAACTTATTGCTAGCTTCCCAAAATAATGTAAAGGAGCAAACCCCAAGATGGAGGCA